GTAAGAGGTTTTTATTTAATAGAATTTTTGGACAAAAAAATCACAATATATTGCGATATATCGCCTTGCTTATAGTATCGCAATATATCAGGATATATCGTATCGTGACCCCTCTGTCATGATATGTATCGTATCCCCAAATTCTTGCCAATACACAGCCCTAACATCTATAGGACCTTGAGGGACTACAGATGAAAGCTAGCCTCATGGCTAATTCTGCCATTTTCTGTAATATGAACTGTCCCTTCTTAAATAAACAACATATGATTCCATTAAAGGCAGCAAAGCTATGGCTCACATACATTTCATTCTTAAACTAAAATGTCCTCAAAAATGCCTAGTTTTATTTGTTTGTTTCTTCTAAACTCATATTTGGGAACTAATTGTTTTTTTAAACCCCATACCTGTCAGTCAATAGCTGTGGCACTTGAACTAAAACAAATGTAACCTAAATGTTGTTCAGTTTTTCAGTGTGGCTTCTTGCTGTTCCAGTACAAACTAACTTACATTGATTGTTACACTTGAGTCAGACTAACTCTAGGGACATTAATGGAGCTCCAGTTTGGAGCCAGCAGGATGAGAAGTGATAACAGAAGCTTGACTTGCCTGTAAAATGTTGACTGGAAGGTCGACAATGAGCTGAGAGTGAGAACTGGAGGGCTGGGAGCTCAGCTGGAATGCCAGGTCTCCATCAGTAGCTGGATCGTCCTGTACAAACACACATCAACAGCTGCAACACTCAGATCTGACTTTACTCTGACAACACTTCTAATATTCAAGCTTTCACTTTACATCAGTCAATGTAACGACTTCAGACATGAGAATTTCAGATACAATTTATTGCACATATGGAGCAGCAGCAATATTCCCATAAGGAGTTTTTATTCCATGTTTGTCAGTTTTCCAAAGTTCTGAATCAATAGTTGATGAAATCCAGTCAGTAGCTGCTGAATAACAGGAATGGTAACAGGACCTAATATACACTGCAAAAACTGTCATCTAACCAAGTTTTAAAATCTTATATCAGCCAAAAAGTCTTTTTGATCTTGTTTTGAGACTGATTTATTAAACAAGAACTGATTGCGTAAGAATAATAATCTTGTGTGTAGTTTGCCATCATCACTGTGTGAATGTGAGTGTGAATGGGTGAATGTCTGTTAGTGTAAAGCGCTTTGGGGTCCAGAGGGGCTTGAAAAGCGCTCTATAAGTTCAGTACCATTTACCATTTACTGTTTGTTTTCAGAATGTGTAAGATAGGGCTGCCACAAACGATTATTTTTATAATTGATTAATCACCGATTATTTTTTCGATTAGTCGACTAATCAGATCATACGTTAATTGAATATAAAACAGAGCTTATCGCACCAGAATGCAGCTGCTATTATATAACCATGGTTAGATTTTAGCTATATGCTAACTAAAAATAATTGCTGTGGAAGGTAAGTTCTGCTCTGCAGATATTACACAGGTTTCTCTTTCATTTTCTTAAAATGATCCCACACTTTGAGCTCCGTTGTCAGGTAGCCATGATACCAGAGCCTGTCTGTATAATGTCTTGTGACGTCCACGGCCTACCCCAGTTACCACTACTGTGCATGTGTGTCAAGGACAGAAAGGCAGACGTGGCAGTGGAAGGTGTCAAAGCAGTTTGGAGAGAAAAACAAAGTAAAGAACAACAACAAAAAAAAACAACAACAACAAAAAAACGATTAATCGATTATTAAATTAGTCATCGATTATTTTAATAATCGATTAGTCGTCGATTAATCAATTAATCGTGGCAGCCCTAGTGTAAGATTATTTGTCTTGTTAAGGGCTCGACACACGGGGAGCGACAAACTACAGTGATTAACAGCTGTCATCGCAGCCAGGGTGAAACCCGACACACGGGACGTGATAGCGATCGCATCGTTTTGAATCGTGCTCTCAGGTCGCTTGTCTTCACAAAATTTGATTGGCTCTTGACTCTGAAGGGGGGTGTGCATTACGGACGTGTAAACTAAACAAATCTTGCGATGCTAATGATACTGAAAAACAAACACACATCAAGATACAATTTTATGAGGAAAAACTTACCATAAACTTCACCCTGCTGCCAATAAATTCCCACAAAGCTTTTTAGAAATCACTTGGTGAAAGTGTTAGCTAACGGCAGTGTGTAGCATACTCTCCTCTCATTGGTCAGTCAATGAAACCCTCGCTGATTGGTTGTACGCTAAGCGACAGCGACAAAAGATGAACATTTTTCAATTTTCATATGTCGCGTCACAAGCTCGCGTGTGCACGTCTACGTGTACGAGTGCGAAATTTCACACGCACTATTTTCGCCGGTCGCTTAGCTGGAGGAGGGCAAGAGATTGTCGCCTCACCGCACAGGCTCCATAGGAAATGAATGGAGAGCGAGCGACGTCGCCTCCCGTGTGTCGAGCCCTTCAGTTTGAAAATTTGACTCAAATTACGTCAAAATTTCTGCCAATGGAGTAAGAAAATTCTACTTGGTAAAATTCTTGAAATAAGAAAAAATTGAGTCAAATCAAGTATTTCAAAAATCCGATATACAGTATAGTGCATTCGTATTGACAACAATAAACAATATGAACAAAACATTTATAAATCTGACCTGCAGCATCTGCACCTGGACATATTGGGCCCCGGTGACAGGGTCCCGCCAAGTCAACCCCCCACCTGCTGCTTCGGCTCCATCACTGTACCGAGCACCAGACGAAGGAAGGGCTACTGGTGCTGAAGCGACCTTGGATCCTTTAGTTTTTCTCTGGCTCACTGTTCCTGCAGGGAGCAAAGAATACATCAACACTTCATAAATAAAGTCCTTAGTTTCAGCTGGATCAAACTGGTGCAGGGTTCTTACCAGATGGAGCCGAGGAACCCCTCTGCTTCTTCTTCTTGACCAGCTGGATGGCTCTGTAGTCTGTCCTGGCTGAGCCTCCACCCCCCTGCAGCAGAAATCATCCAGATTATAATCATCTTTATTATAATCCAATTCATCATTCTCTCAAACTTTAATAAAGAACAACAAACACCAATAAATCTTTCAGAAATTAAACTACAGCTTAAAAACCTGTTCTCCAAGGAAGTGAGCTGCAACCAATTTCTCATTAAACACTTCAGGACAAAGTTGCTTGTGTGGAATCAATAAAAAAATAAAGCTAATGTTCAAATAATACCAAGACCTTTATTAAGAGAATTAGCTGTTTGTCTAAAATAATACTGAAAGAAAACCATTCGTATGAAAACAAAACCCATCTTAATGTTGGGTCATTTTCCTCTCAGCCTGCTGCAGCTAAACATCAACATATTAACAGCAGCCTCTGAATCAGTAAGTACAGCCTACCAACAAGCAGCTAACATCCTGACCCACCATGCTCCATGACTATATACTACACACTTATACTTGATTTATACTTTGACTCGAATGTCTTGTTGCCCCTGCTGAGTGACAAAAAACTGCATAACTTCCGTCTGCTCTCCCCTGGTGACAGCAGTCGTGTGCATTACCCTCAGTCTGAACTCTGCGACGCAGACCTTGCGGCTCAGAGCGTGTGATTGGTTAGAACTTCATGGTTGTGTTTGTCAATGAGTAGCAAGTGGTGGTCCAGCAGCTCATTCTTCTGTGTGTTATTTTGTTTTAAATGATTTTTGGTCTGAAGCCTGTTGTTCAAAGAGCTAGAAGAGCAGCTGGTTTGATCCTGTTGAACGTGAGCATGCATCTTTGTTCCATCACCACTGTTAACAAAGCTCACACACACACACACACACACACAAGCACTCCCTGCACTTCATTCACACACACCGTGGCCCATGTCTCCTACAGGGGATTTTAGATTAGATATTAGAGTTGTCATAGTTTAGAACTTTAGGTTCTCCACACCTTCTGAAGTCCTCTCACCATCAGCCACTATGATGAGGTAATCAGGCCTTCAGAGGGTTTTATTCATCAGAACCAGTGTGTTTATGATGAATGGTTGTAATGAGTCTGTATGCCAGTGTTTAGAAGTGAACGTATTGATCAGTGGACAACCAGGAGAAGCTGATCTGATTTGTTCCTTTTTGATTTGGTTTTATTTTTAGTTTCAAACCCTGAACGCAGGTGCTGTCATTTATTGTTGGACTGACTAATAATTAATTCTGACAGTAGCTCACACACAGGACAGACAAATGTTAGGAAGTGGAAGTGTTTTGTATCTCACCAGGAAGCTGCTGGGTGACACAGCCAGTTCTGGGTCCTTCTGTGGGCTGAAGCTGCTGCTGGGACTTGGAAAAACAAACTGAGTGAGGACTTTCCCACCCTCCTGAGGAGCCAGCACCTCCACACAGCCCAGCAGAGGCCCTGCGCCTCCCTGGACGCCCACCTCCACCACCTTGGAGGGTGAAGCCAGCAGTTCTGGGACCGGGGCCACAGCAAGGGAGGCTGAGGACTCCATACTCAGGCAACTAGAAGAACTGAGAGGGTGCTGCAGACCAGGATCCACAGAGGCACTCCCACCTTGTATCGTTAGAGCCGTCAGGGTTCCGAGGGCCTCTGGAGTAATCGTCTGCACGTCATCCAGATTAAGAGAGCCCTGCGGGGGGAGGACTTCACCCACTGCTCGTTCCAGACCATGTTGATGGATGATGTCAGCACTGGTCGCCATGATGAGTGGGTCCAAAGCCTTGGCCAAGGTTGTGTTGGAACTGGTAACGAGTGTGGTGCCCCCTGAGGAGGGGTCAATAGTAAGAATGCCTGAGCTGACCAGAGACAAGTCCATCGTGAAGGAGCTGGAAGAGTTGCTTCCAGCCACAGGGATTCCCACTCCGAGGCCAGCAGAGGGCACACTGCCTCCAGGCACAGAGGAGAACAGAGAGGCCAGGTCCAGGTTGGTCAGCTGGTCCCCCACAGCCACACCAGAGCCAGCAACTGAGGCTGGAGTGGAGCTGACCAGCTCACTGCTGGGAGTCAGGGTCGGGGTGGTCTCCATTTGGCATAAAACATCTGCAAAGAAAAAATGTCAAAGGTCACCAGAGACAAACATGTAGATTACTGGTTGAAATGGGATGAAACTACGTCTGTATGGAGCTAAAGTTTAGTTCAAAATTAAAAGAAGTTGAAGCACAAAAATATAGAAACTGGAAATATTTCAAACATCTCATCTTTTCAGCTTCAAATCTTTTTTTAGTTTCTAAAACTTTTTATTTTGAACTAAACTTATGGCCCCAATGTATCTCCATACATCTGGAAGATACAACTCCAGTGTTAACTACAGTTTATATTACAAGGGAGACTTTATGTGCACCTTCTTACAGTGAGATACTTTAATTATGACTTATCAGTGTCTAACTCCAGATTTATTCATCATCAAAACTTTCACTTTTACATCGTATTTAGTCCAAAACTGCTTACAGAGGCTCACACCACTAAAGTGACCCAGTCTGCTGTATACATCTTAGCAGCAAACAAGAACTTGTGCATGTCATGTTCCTGAGTAGTGTGATCTCAGGTCTGTCTCAGTTGGACAGAAATGGCAGCAGTTAAAACAGATGAAGTCAGGCCAAATGAAAAATGTGACAAAATCACAAACCTGGACAGATAAAAGAGAGTTCACTGCAGGACTTGGAATCAGGGAACTAGAGTGGCGACTGATTTGGTCACAAATGTGACCTGATTGTTTTAATGGTGCGACTGCATAAAATTCCAGTTGCAACCAGTGCGACCAGTCGTTTGAGGAGGGGGAGCAGATGCCCGCTGAAACAAAAAGTCTCCACGTCTCGTAATAAATCCATCTAGCAGGATCAACACAGTGCTCTACTCTACACCCTCAGAATCAGAATCAGCTTTATTGCTATTGTCAGTGATAAACACAGACTAGGAACTTGCAGTTTAGAACATCCATTCGGAGACAGACACACATAAACATGGAGGAACGAGTCCAGTCTTTCGCACTACGGTGCGCTACCTTTTGCAGCTTATAATACACACACACTAGGAAAGGTGAGTTAAAAAAAGAGCTCTGATTCTATGTTTTACACAGAAACATGTGCTCAAAAAGCCACTCTGCATAGTGCAAGACAACTAAGGAGTGGGGTGGGTGGGTAGGGAGAGAACACATGGTATATGGAGGGGGTTCAGCAGAGCCGTTGACATTCCAGGTTAGTACTCCGTATTGGAACCAATCAAAGACCTCCAGAGTCCAAAACAAGTCGTTGTTAACCAAAGCACAAATCACCAGAGTCAGTTCTCTGTCTCCACCCATTGGGGCCTTCAGACAGATCCATCCACGGATGAAAAGGTGGAGGGTGGGCGGGTGTCAAGTAGGCCTGTCGCGATAGTCAATAAATCAATTAATCGCACGATAACTTTTTTTGAGGTCGGTAAAAAAAAAGACGCCGATAAGTTTCATTTTCCTGCTTGTTTGTTACTTCGTCTCTCTGCTCCGCTGCACAGGATGAGCTCCTGTGAAGAGCTCCTGCAGCTGACCCCTCCCCTCCTGTTTTCTTAGTGTGGGAGGAGCGAACTGTCGCTTTAGCGTGAGAGCTAGTTTCTAAA